CCATTTTATGGCTCATATTAGCATGCAAATCAACCAAATGGATTAATGAGTTAATCAGGTTAAGACCGTTGTGTGAATGGATTCCTGCCCGCTTCGGAGAGGTGGGTGTTGTTATTGTGGGGAGGGAAGGAAGCGTTGAGTTCCATGCCTTGAGCCCAGACAGGATCTAAATTTAATCAATCATAAATGTGTCTCCACTGTAAAAAATATACTTCTTGTGTTACTTAGTTCGGCTTTATGCCCTGGATAAGACGAAAAGGGGCTTGAGATAACAGCCTTTTAAAACAGCCCCGGGGAGATTAATAGTAATTATAATAATAAAGCCAAGCAGTTTTTTCCGCTCCCTATAAATGCATTTCCTGATCCGATTGTGAGACTCCTAAGCAACACTCCGAGAGGCGGAAAAAATTCCCCGAGAACATCTGGCATCTCCGGCAAAAACAGCAGCCCATCAGGAGCGTCTCCATTGTGAAAGCGGCACTCAGCATGCGAAACAATCACATGCATCCCAACGAAAACAAACAGCCTCCACAATTATGTTTGAACCCCCAAAATAGCTTGGCCTTCTTCCTTTGCAGGCTGCAGGGGAGAGAGAGAGAGGAGAGAGAGAGAAAGAAAGAGAGAAAAAAGAGAGATAGATGATAGAGAGGTGAGAGAGAGAGAGAGATGATAGAGTGAAAGAAAAAAGAGAGATAGATGATAGAGAGGTGAGAGAGATGATAGAGTGAAAGAGAGAAAAAAGAGAGATAGATTATAGGTGTGAGAGAGATGATAGATGATAGAGAAAGAGAAAAAGAGAGATAGATGATAGGTGAGTGAGAGAGATGATAGATGATAGAGTGAAAGAGAGAGGAAAGAGATAGATGATAGAGAGGTGAGAGAGAGAGATGATAGAGTGAAAGAGAGAGATGATAGGTGAGAGAGAGAGATGATAGAGCGAAAGAGAGAGATGATAGAGAGGTGAGAGAGATGATAGATGATAGAGTGAAAGAGAGAAAAAAGAGAGATAGATTATAGGTGAGAGAGAGAAAGATGATAGATGATAGAGAAAGAGAGAAAGAGAGATAGATGATAGAGAGGTGAGAGAGAGAGATGATAGAGTGAAAGAGAGAGATAGAGAGGTGAGAGAGAGATGATAGAGTGAAAGAGAGAGATGATAGAGAGGTGAGAGAGAGATGATAGAGTGAAAGAGAGAAAAAAGAGAGATAGATTATAGGTGAGAGAGAGATAGATGATAGAGAAAGAGAAAAAGAGAGATAGATGATAGGTGAGTGAGAGAGAGATGATAGATGATAGAGTGAAAGAGAGAGGAAAGAGAGATAGATGATAGAGAGGTGAGAGAGAGATGATAGATAGAGTGAAAAAGAGAAAAAAGAGATGAGAGAGAGGTGAGAGAGATGATAGAGTGAAAGAGAAAAAAGAGATAGATGATAGAGAGGTGAGAGAGAGATGATGATAGAGTGAAAAAGAGAAAAAAGAGGTGAGAGAGAGGTGAGAGAGATGATAGAGTGAAAGAGAGAAAAAAGAGATGGATGATAGAGAGGTGAGAGAGAGAAATGATGATAGAGTGAAAGAGAGAAAAAAGAGAGATAGATGATAGAGGAAAGAGAGAGAAATTCCAGTTTTTATTCTTAACGGACAGATGGCCAATGTCTTGGCAGAGTTGTGTGTTTGTTCTTCTGTAAAAGAAAACAAAAAAAATGCACTGTCACGAGGCTGCATTTATAGAGGGATAGAAGAAGATTGCGTGTTAAAGTGTTAATGCCACTTTATAAGGCCTTGGTGAGGCCACACTTGGAATCCTGCATGCAGTTTCAGTCACCACGATGCAAACGTGGACGTGGAGACTCTAGAAAGAGTCCAGAGAAGAGCCACAAAGGCGATTATAGTAATATTTTAACGTTGTGTTGTTTTAATCTTTCCATAATCATTTTTTAAACTTGTTTTATAACCTGCTAGCCGCCCAGAGTCACCGTGTAGGAGAGATGGTGGCAGAATAAATTAAATCAAGGAGAGAAGCAACTTAGAACTAAGGAGGAATTTCCCGACAGTGAGAACAATTAATCAGTGGAACAACTTGCCACCAGAAGTTGTGAATGCTCCAACACTGGAATTTTTTAAGGAGAGTTTGGACAATCATTTGTTTGATAGAGTCTCCTGCATAAGCAGGAGGTTGGACTAGAAGACCTCCAAGTTCCCTTCCAACTTTTGTTATTCTATTCTAAATAAATAAAAATCAATCAATCAATCAGTGCCATGTGCCAGCATCCAACATTGTGAAAAAAGGGGTACCCCAATATTTGTCCCCCTCCGATCCTGTAGTCTCTGTCCACAGTGCCACTGCCTTTCTTTTTTCATTTTGAGAAAGAAAGCAGCTTCCCAAAAAAGCCAACACAGTTCTAGGCTGCATAAACAGAGGGATAGATTCAAGATCCCGTGAAGTGTTGATACCACTTTATAATGCCTTGGTAAGGCCACACTTGGAATATTGCATCCAGTTTTGGTTGCCACGATGTAGAAAAGATGTGGAGACTCTAGAAAGAGTGCAGAGAAGAGCAAGAAAGAGGATTAGGGGACTGGAGGCTAAAACATATGAAGAACGGTTGCAGGAACTGGGTGTGTCCAGTTTAATGAGAAGAAGGACTAGAGGAGACATGATAGCAGTCTTCCGATATCTCAGGGGTTGCCCCAAAGAAGAGGGAGTCAAGCTATTCTCCAAGGCACCCGAGGGCAGAACAAGAAGCAATGGGTGGCAACTAATCAAGGAGAGTAGCAACTTAGAACTAAAGAGACATTTCCTGACAATTAGAACAATTAATCAGTGGAACAACTTGCCTTCAGAAGTTGTAAATGCCCAACACTGGAGGTTTTTAAGAAGATGTTGGACAACCATTTGTCTGAAATGGCGTAGGGTTTCCTGCCTAGGCAGGGGGTTGGACTGGAAGACCTCCAAGGTCCCTTCCAACTCTGTTATTCTATTCTATTTAAAAGAGGGGTTGAAAGTTAAGGAGTAAAAAGATGTGGAGACTCTGGAAAGAGTGCAGAGAAGAGCAACAAAAAGGATTAGCGGACTGGAAGCCAAAACATATGAAGAACGGTTGCAGGAACTGGGTATGTCTAGTTTAATGAAAAGAAGGACTAGGGGAGACATGATAACAGTCTTCTAATATTTGAGGATCTGCCATAGAAAAGAGGTGGTGGGGTTTTCAACTTATTCTCCAAAAGCACCGGAGTGCAGAACAAGAAGCAATGGATGGAAACGAATCCAGGAGAGAAGCAACGTGGAATTAAAGAGAATTTTCCCCTGCAGTGAGAACAATTAATCAGTGGAACAACTTGCCACCAGAAGTTGTGGGTGCATCATCACTGGGAGGCTTTGAAGAAGAGATTGGACAGCCAAACATTTGTTTGTTTGTTTACTTATTTATTTAATTTATTTATTTCATTTATTTCATGTACAACTTTCATCCTCAACTTTACAACAGTTCATTTAGTTTGAAGTTACATGGATACTGATTTTAAAAAGTGCCGACAGTTGCAACATCTCCACAGTCATGGGATCACAATTCAAATGATTCATATTTATGACGGTTGCGGCGTCCCTGGGCTCACATGACCCCTCCCCCCTTTCCCCTTTTGCAATCTTCTGACAAGCAAAGTCAACGGGGGAAGCCAGATTCACTTTAACAGCCGCGTTACTCACTTAACAACCTCTGGGATTCGCTTAACCGCCATAGCAAGAACCGTTGTAAAACGGGGCAAAACTCATTTAAGAAATGTCTCGCATCGCAAGGGAAACTTTGGGGCTCCATTGTGGTTGCAAGGACAACCTATTTTTATTCATTTTTTCACTCTAGGGGACGGTGCTCATCTCCGTTTTGAAGCCGAAGAGCCAGCGCTGTCTGAAGACGTCTCCGTGGTCATGTGGCCGGCATGACTAAACACCAAAGGCGCACGGAACGCTGTTCCCTTCCCACCAAAGGGGGTCCCTATTTTTCTACTTGCATTTTTACATGCCTTCGAACTGCCACGTTGGCAGAAGCTGGGACAAGTCACGGGAGCTCACTCCATTACGTGGTGCTAGGGGTTCGAATCGCCGAACTGCCGACCTTTCTGATCGACAAGCTCAGCGTCTTAGCCCCTGAGCCACTGTGTCCCTCCTTGCCACGTTAACCCTCCAAATTGTAATCTCAGGCTAATGGGCTGTCTGGGTTTGTCCCGAACTTAGTTTAGGACAGTGTTTCTCAACCTTGGCAACTTTAAGTCCTGTGGACTTCAACTCCCAGAATTCCCCAGCCAGCTTTTTTTACTAATTATTTTCTTTGTTTTGTAAGCCGCCCGGAGTCCTCCGGGATTGGGCGGCCTATAAATCCATTAAATAATAATAATAATGAGTTTATCCGGTTTGGGGAATGCCGTCTTCCCTTCCCCACCAGATCCCAAAGCAGAGAATCGGGCATCATCCAGCGACCCAGGAACTCCCGCCAAAGTTTGGGCATCTGAAGAACATCCCTCTGGATCGTCTAAACAATTCTGAAATCTGTCCCAAAGTGACCCTGCCCATTTTACCCCCCTTTTACAATCCCTGACCCCAATAACATTTTAATTCCTTATTTCCCTTTTGCCGTCTCGCAGCAAATTGCTTCCTTCTGTTTGCAAGAGGAGATTTTATCTCTTCCCAGCCTGTTTTTTTGGTGGCTGCATGCCTCTCTTCTCTTCCTCTTCACTTCTTCTTCCTCTTCTTTCTTTCTTTCTCTCTCTCTCTCACTCACTCACTCACTCACTCTCTCTCCCGAAAAAGTCCTCTCCACCACCGAAGCCAAAGAATTGAAAAAAAGACCGTCCTCACCCCTCCCCAAAAGCATAAATTTACCAAATAAAATAATAATAATAATAACAACAACAACAATAACAATACAAGTTGTGTTTCCCCCCCCCAAAAAAAACAAGAGAGAGAGAGAGAGATTTCTTTTTTTGTGAAGACAAAAAGGAAAAGACTTGAAAGGGAAAAAAAAGGCACAGAGTTTTAGCAGAAGGGGTGGGGGGGGGAAGCAAAGTCGGCATCCACACAGTCCTGACTCCTTCCCCTCCCCCCCCTTGCAGGGATCGTTCAGGAATTCCCAAGTCCACCACCGATCCTTTTTCTCAGCTACACTGGCACGATTTGACAATCATGTTGGAAAGCTGCTCCACTTTGGCTTGTCGGCCGACGTAGTATACGATGCCCAGGGGCTCCAGCTCGTAGGGGACACAACAGGGTGCGGCTGAGGCCGAGGGGTTGTGCAGGTTGTAGAGACCGAGGACCTACGCGAAGGAGACAAGAAGAGCCTTGCTGAGAAATGCAAGATTTCTTAATAAAGAAATGATTATCCTCCCACTTGTGACTATAACCGTGCTGCTTGTATTTTTACGATGCATGTTGTTCTGTTCCCCAGTTGCAATGGATGGCTGTGAAGGCTGGACCATAAGGGAGGCTGAGCGCCAAAGAATGGAGGCCTTTGAACTCTGGTGCTGGAGAAGACTCCTGCATTGAGTCCCTTGGAGTACAGTAGCAATAGCAATAGCAGTTAGACTTATATACCGCTTCATAGGGCTCTCTAAGTGGTTTACAGAGTCAGCATGCATCGTAAAAATACAAGCAGCACGGTTATAGTCACAAGTGGGAGGATAATCATTTCTTTATTAAGAAATC